GCACATCATTGGTAGGGTCTTAAAAATGAAAACGGGGATCTTGAATGGACCTCGGTACAACCTTCACTTTTAGATGTGAATGCAGAATTCAAGTTAAAATAAAGCTTTTCTAAAAACTACGTGACAAGAAATGACGAGTGCTTCAGTCAAGAAACCAGACGCAATGCATTAAAATCTCAAGCAAGAACAGGAAGGCTATTTAAAAAGAAACTATTCTAATCTGAAATAAAAAGGAAAATAGGACATGCGTGTCAACACAGTCTGGTGGCCTAACCTGCTAAAAAGCCTCATAGATTCAGTGTGCTAGAGGAATTAGATAACATTAGTTGCTCTCAGTGTTGTCCCTGGCTTTAAGAGCATCACAGGGAAAAAAAGCTGAGCCTGAATGGGATTTCACTGCCTTAAAGGCGCTCATTTCTCCTCACATCTCCTTGGCTCACTCTCCAGCACACCTTCCACGAGCAAATGCACCAGAGGTCAGATACGAACAATTGTCCTCTTCCCAGGCTGCTCCTGACTCATTCCTTTAACACAGTTCATTTTGCCTTTGGTAGAAAACAGCAAGATGTGACTGTGCGCCTTAAAAGTTGTGTGGGAAATCTTTGATGTGCTGAAGCACGGGAGAATTTTAGCTGTGATTTCAGGAGGGACAAAATTTCAGTTGGATTTTTCCCTGCACTTGCATGGGCTATGTTGGGCTTGCAGTTCAGTGGAGGTGGTACATAAACTGGTGCAAACAGAAGCAATGATGAGAAAAGGGGAAAAAAAAACAAACTTAAAAATATTTCAGCTGAACATTTGTTTTCTGTGGGAGCACATTTGGGAGCTTGCCATAGGACTTCCTTCCTGAATTTTGGCAATCAATAAAATGTATATTTATTTATTTATATGGGCTTGAGCCTGTAGAAGCCTAGAAGATAAGGGAGCTAATGTGTATGTCTTAAACACCAAGTTTTGGATAGCTGTGGAGCCAACCAAAGATTACTGGTAATGACACACTCTCAAAAAGAACAGGATGTGGATGGAGCAGGGGGGCATATGAAGGTAGGGCAGCACTTTTCCAGGACAAACATCCTTGCTCTGACCCCTGGAGATCAGCACGACACAGTCCAGTGCCAGTGCAGGAATGAGGTTGAAAAGCAGGCATGGACTGCAGCAGGGGATCAAGACCCTCCAAGGCCCTCAAAGCCCTGCAACCCATTTCCAGAAAGGTCTGGAAGAATGGACTGCACATGATAACTAATTTGCATAGAAAATGGGAAACTTATTTCCAGGTGGGGAAAACCTATCTATTCACAGGTACCCCCAAGAAGCCTGGGCACATGTGCACCTTGTGGCCCAGTTGGATCAATGCTGGAGCCAAGACTGGTGCTCTTCCTTCCTTCTTTCCTGCCTTACTTTGTATCTTTCTTTTGCTCCCTCCTTAATTATTCTCTCTCTCTTCCCTTTCACCCCATCCCTTTATCCAAAACCCACTGCCATGTGCTTATATAAGGAGATCAGGGACTAACTTATACCAATTTCCATGACAATGGAAACTTAGCACGCTTTTGCAGACCCTCTGACCTTTGTCGTTCCTTTCGACCACAAGCACCTATGAATCTTGGGTGCTCCTTCCCCTTAAGGTTGGGATGCCACAGAGACTCCCACAGATCAGTCTTGATTCTCCTCCTCAGGCCAAGCTCCATGGCTCAAGCTTTCAGAGGCCCCTCTCCAGCTGTGTGAAATCTTGAAAGGCACTTAATGAATTAGACATTATTAATATTCTCTCCCAGCATCAGAAGGCAGCAATTAACTCTTTGAAGACTCATCCCAAACACTGTTTTATAACTTTCAGTACTCAGAGGCAGCTATGTGATCTCATTGTGATTTTAAAGGATATCTTTCCAGAATAATTATTTTCCTTGTTTGGGGTGAGGAAAAAAAGAAAAAAAGAAGAAGTTCAAAGTCCTGGTTCTGCCTTGGAGTGTGCATTAGTGATGTTAGATGTGCCGTAAAGATTTCAGAGCATGGAACATTATATGCTGCAATACTTTAGCTGAGCAGATGCCTTAAGGAGGTCATTCAACATGCCAGGCTCTAAATGTTACTTGGGAGCGAGAAAACATTATTTTCCCACTTCAACAAGACTTTTGCTTCCCTGTCGTGTGGAAATAACCTTCTGTGCTCAGTACTATTATTAATTTATTAGCCTTTTGAATGTCTAAATGTTTTGCAGTCTGTGGACTACATCAAAGTGCTGGCTGAGGGACAGGGCAGCACAAACACGTGTGTGTGCACTCAAATCCATGTATGTGTGTTTCAAAGAGCAGACCTGATGAAAGAAGACTTCTGCCTATACATTTCTGACAGTGAGAACAGCCACTTTCTTCCGCACAGAACCACAAAGGAGCGCATTTATGTTATAATTAGATGTCAAACCTTATGAGCAATGACTATGTAGAAAAAGTGCTAAGTATATATTTCTATTGAAATCAATTAAAGGAGACAATTATTTTCTTTCCATTTAGATTGTGTGACGCCAGCACAAACTGCTGCAGTACAGTGCAGCTGTCAAGCCCAGCCTCGCTGCCTGAACAACTGCTTTCTGCTCGCCTGATGGAACTGTCCTGCACGGCACTGCTTTTCCTCAGAGATGAGCTCACCGTCAAAATGCTTCTATGCCCAACAGGGAATCATGTATACTTTCAGCAGATAGGAGGTTTGAAACAATCCCCTGAATAACTTTATGTAACAGGACTTAGGTTGTGTCTCTGGTGCTGAACGTAGCATGATCTGCTTTGTGCCTAGGAACAAAACACAGAATTTCTGCAAAGCAGGCTCTGGCTCAGCACATCTTACTGCAATGCTAGAAGTAAGACTCTTCCAAAAAGTAGTTATTGACTAAAACGGCAGGAGACAGGTGGAGTTCATTTGATGTCCCTAATTATTTAAAAGTTAGTGACCATGGACATTCTCAAAATCAAAAGGGGATGTTTTTCCCATCCCAGAATGGGCACTGAAGAAGGGCCAGATGATTACCTCCTAGAACGACCATTCCATGGGCTAAGAAGGTGATTGGTGACTACCTTGGACATTATCACACAACTTTTAATTAAATTAATTCCACTCTGCATGTACCCCATCGACACAACCTTTCTTTGACTCTTCATTCACTCTCACGTAATGCCCACACGTGTTCCCAGCCAACACTTCCTTTCCTTCTGCAAAATCTAATATTTCCTTAGGAATGTTCTTCCTACTTACTGTGAGTCACTGCCCCCATGGCAAAGTCCACGTACCTAACACTGAGCTAGGGAGCAGGTATCTGTACTGAGAACTTGGGTTCTTTGAATTTTTCCACCTGGGTGACTCCGTACGCCAGGGCCCTCCAGGGAAACCAATTTTCCTTAAAAAATGTGTGTGAGAGAGAAGAAAATCCATGAAGACTCAACCAGAGGGCTATTCCCCATAGGCATCCATGGACTACAGAGTTGAATTCCAGCACACTGTCCTGTCAGGAAAAGACATGTCCGTGTTTTGCTCAGGAAGCGAACTGAAGTGACAGGTTCACGGTTTTAAGAACGAAAGAATACACTTTGGTACAATGTATGTGGCATTATCTTGTCCCATGAAATCACCATCAGCAATGCCTGAGCAGAATTGTCATGGCAGGGCTGTAGTTGGTGGCACGTGAGATAGCAAGGGGGGGTTGCTAAAGTCCAGTCTTGAGAGCACTTCTTATCAACAGAGAAGTGATAAGCTAGAAACCCCGAGCCAGCTTTCAAGCCCCAAAACCCTCCTTCAGGTCTGAAGTGGAGTTAACAACCTTAAAGTCAGAGGGAAGCTGACAAGCTGGAACCAAACCTGATTATAACTCAGCTCTTTTGGGCTCCAGCACAGACAGAGGGGGACTGTAATCCCATTCCATCTGCTTTTTGCCATGGGTACTTTGTGCCATATTTGGGATATTAATGAGCACAAGGAATGCACTAGAAACTAAACCTCCTCTGAAAGCAGCATTTGCACAATGCTCCAGTGGGTAGAGAGAAACTAGACTTCAAAAAGTAAAAATCTAGTTGTGTTGAACTCCTGTTACTGCAGAGGCTGAAACTGTCTTGTGAAAAACTGAGGTAGCCTTGGTACGTTGTCAGGTGAGATGCCAAAGGTACAGCTGCAGAAAAATGTGCTTCAGCAGCTAGAGGATCACAGTTAATGCTCAGTAATCTATTAATCATTGTTATGAGATTTCTCTATGCAAATGAAATTTATATAACCCTCATCAATCATAAAAAAATCATAAAGATGAAATTTTGCAGCCACAATGTGAATTAAAGAATCCCTTAACCTGTTTGCAAGATTTGTCCTTATAGATAATTAATTTTTAGATGGAGTGTTCTTTGAAAGAACTAATGGATAGTGAGCATTGTTGATTGATTATGAAACAAGCAGGAGGGTTTAAGAAGTGAGCTGTGAATGTAAAATCACTGCCAAATTAAAATTCTGGACTATGTGACTGCAAGAAGAAGATATTAATACAGCACTTTTGATGAGTGTGTTTTATTTATTTAACATCAATAAATTTCTCTTAGCTGGCCTATGCCATACAGATCCATCAGACTGTCCTCTGAACTGTATCTTAGCAGACGAAAGACTAATTCCTCCCCTTAAGGAATCCAGAATCTGGATTCTATGATTCCATAAAATATAACTTTACAAATTTATGCAATGGGGGAAAAAAAAAAAACAGCAACAAAATGAAAACCAATAACTACAAAGAAAAGGCAAAGAAATGTAATTCATGTATCATCCTGCTAGGGCTGCTCTTCAGAACTGCAAATCTACGGGTAACTTTTATTGAGCCATCATTACAAGCAGTGACAGGAGTTATTGAAAGGCCAGTCAATCTGCAATGACCTTAAAACATCAAGAGTGAATTGGGGGCTGTTAAACACTGCAAACAGTCTGCAGGAGCGTGCAGACGGTGAGAGAGAGGGAGAAAACAAGAGCTGTTGCCTTACCCGCTTCCTCAAATTGCAGGTGAGCGTGAGATTCCTCGAGAAGGAGTTTGCAAAAGCGGTATAGAAGTCCAACACTTTAAGCAAGGCTTCTCGTTTGATAATATGCAGGTCGCAGTATGTCAGAGCCCGAACGTTGGCACATGCGTGGGCCAGGCTGGTTTCCTTCCAGAAGATATCACCAAACACATCACCTTTACCTGAAAAACAGCAGGACAAATTTGTTGTAAGGTAGAGCTTAGGCAGTGTTCTTCAGCACATAAATGATTTCTTTCCAAACCGCCTTACACTTCCAATTATTCTCACATAAGCCCCCAGCTGTGAAAACTAATAAGGGTGAAAGTTTTAGAAGTATCTCAGGTACTTGAGTATCCTTAACAGTAGCCCCAGGTTTTTAAGGTATTTATAGATCGCCCTGTGAAGTGTCACAAAGCATAAGAACATGATTGTAAAGGCCCCCTTGTTGCTGAAGATACAAGTAATGGATTTTTCAAAGGCTTCCGAATATAATGAGCACTTAACTAATGTTCAGGTGATTGAATATTTCAGGTGTCTGTTCCCAAGTGATTTAAGGAGTCCCACTCTTCCAAAAACCCTCTGACATCCAGGTTCCTACATCTTCATGGCTCTACAGTGTGGTACAGGAGCCAGCTTCCAGGGCCCAAGGACCACATTATAAAGAATGTTTAAATGTTTTTAATTCAATTTAAGTGGCAACACTCCTTCTGAAAAACCCATCAAAACCCTCACTGAGACTTTTAAACTTTAAATAGCCAGCTCTAAATCTTAAACACATCCAAGAAGTCTAGTTCTAAACCCCAACTCATCCATTTAAGTAGAGACTTAGGGTTAAGTATTCAATGTATTTCAATGTTTGCTGAGTAAGAAAGGGTTTGACACTTTAGACATCCACATGTATAAATACCATCAACCAGCTGGGAAAATTACACCTGAAGGCCACTTCTGCATTGGCAGGCAGTGTAGCAGAACAGCTGATGCTGAGGACTTGCACATTGTGAGGACTTGGGACTAGTTGTAGTCCAGTCCCACGGACAGAAGTGCATGAGATGTGCTCTGACACACCTTGGCTTCCTTTGCTCTGCAAGGAATTCATACACCACACACCTGTGCTAGACACTGAAGCTGGACAAGTCGGGAGGACAAGGACATCAGATTCAAAATCACACTTCTGACCCAACAAAAACACCAGCATGGGTGCAGACTGGAGACGGGCTTTCAGGTTTGGACTCTGTGGTTGTTCCAAGAAGAGGCAGCGGAGTGGCAGCAACAGAAGTATTCAAAAACTGCCTCTTGCTATGTGGCCATGGGTTGGGCAAGGGCCATGCTGTGTGGTTTGTGGCTGACATCTCAAATCCTGAAGCAAAGGGTACAAAGGGTATTTTTTTTGCAGACCCCAAAGATATCCCTGCTCTTTATTTTAGCAGTTATTAAAAGGAAAGTAAAATCAGTTAGTCAGTGGCTATTGATTCCAGGTACCTCAAGCAGGCCACTGCTGAAGGTTAGTGATGTTATAGTTTTGGGATAAAAAGGTAACACATTTTAATATTTCCTCTTTTAAGAACTTGTAACATTTCACTCAACTCTACTGTGGGAACCAGAGTGCTAATTTATCCAACATTATTACTTTTGGGGGTCAGAGGCTCTATTTCTCTATTTCCATTTCTGGTTTAGGTATTGTATCCAGTAAAACACATCTAACATTTCTCAGGCAGAGTGAAATAAATGGTTCCAGTCCTTCTTCATTTCCCTGTTTTTATTTTCTAGCAAAAGTCTCTATAGCAGAATCATCCCTTAGAAAGGTTATAAATGCATCTCATTGCACTGCTTTTAATTCTACATATTTTGATGTAATTAAAATTAACTACAATACATAACACAGCTGGTATAATTTATAAAACAAGTTGTTTTAAAATGTTTTCCTTAATACAGAGCATTTTCTGGTAACATTATAATTTATCCAATGTACTGTTTTGAAATTACCTTTTGCAGTTAATTACCCTTGTCTATACCCACAGTTCAAAACCCAATTTACAGACATACTCAGCACAGTTACATAATTTGTAGAAAACAGACCATTTCTGAAATGCACAAAATTGCTTAATGGATTTGCTCTCTGAGGTGGACGCAGGACAGAACTGAGTCCTGCTTTTGGTGGCTGCAGAGTGCACTTAAAAACACAGAATTCTACAATAGGGGCTATTATGGTTTTCCCTCTGAAATGTGAGTGAGCCACTTGTTTTCTTTTCAAATTTAAGGTAATACACAGGTAATTTAAGTCAAGAGGTTGAAAGCAGTGGATGCTCAGTCCAGAACTCTGCACGACGGTGTGTTACAGAATCTGTACACAAATCACTGATTAACGAAACCACTATTCATAAACTTGAGAAGATCTCAATGTCTTCAGTTCTGTGAGGCAGGGAACTGCACTGGCTCTCTCAGAAAGGGTGGGACGTGATGAACTGAACTTATTCACTCTTCCATGAGCCCACTGGATTTGAATGGTGAAACTCCAAACTCCTCTTACATTGTTGTTTATACTCTTTAGAAAGTATAAAATCTTGGAAACTTTTAAGAGTTCTTGAATTTGACATTTCCCCACACAAGTCCAAGCCTTATTTGATGGTTATAAATGTGCTGAGGAATGTACTGAATGAAAACAAAACCTACCAGATCCTCCAAAACAACGTGTCTTTTTTCATAAATACAGAGATTAATGTACTGTACTTCATCCCTATTAAATGTAGTTCACTGCATAGAGAGTGGTAATTATTCACTCAGGACAAGACTAGATGTTAGGAAAAAATTCTTTACTCAGTGGGTGGTGTGGCACTGGAACACGATGCCCAGAGAAGTTGTGGATGCCCAACCCCTGGAATTGTTCAAGGCCAGGCTGGATGGGGCTCTGAGCAACCTGGACTAATGGAACATGTCTCAAACTGTTCTATGATTCTAAGGCTAATTTTACACAATGCAACTAAATAAAAATAAAACTTTCAGAGTTGCGACAGCAAATTTAACTGGTAAGTCTGACACACCAGCTACTCAAAGACTTGTATATATATACATATTGTTCACTTGCAGAGAACATGCAGACCTCCAGGGAAAGCCCCTCTGGGGCTGGGCAGGGAATACAGAGGCACTGGAGCTGATGCAGCCTGCACAGTTCCCAAAGCCTCTCTCTGGAGATTTATTGAGGCCTCAGCACATTAACTCCCAAACCTGCACGGTCCTTAGTCCTGAGCAGTCTTAATATACCCCTCCTGACTGAAAGCAAAGCTGTGGGAAATTCTCCTGCCCCTGCTCTCACAGTGCCCAAAGCATTGCTGAAAAAAAGGAATGCCCTAAATTAGAGTGGGAACTGCTTGCATACATTTTCCATTTGGTATGAGGAAAGGGAGGAAGAGAGTCAGTATTTGGACACTGCTGGATTAAAACTGGCAGAAACACAGGTGTAAGGATAGAATCACAGAATCAAAGAATCCTTTGGGTTGTAAAAGACCTCTAAGATCATCAAACCCAACCACTGACCCAGCACTGTCAAATCCACCACTAAACCATGCCCCTAAGCGTCACATCTATAGAATTACAGACTCATTTGGGATGGAGAAGACCTCCAAGATCACACAAACTTGGATCTGGGGACTGAAAGAACCAAGGAAAACAGTAAGACATGTAGGGTGTTGGTGACAGGCATAATTTTTGCTGAAATAGCTACACTGCTATCATTCTAAATACATAAAATATACATATATATATTCATGCATATTTGCATAAATATATTTAGAGACAATCATACAGTATTTAACCATGTAATAAGTCATGATATTTCTATGTACCATCTTCTATATTTTGATAACTCTCCCACACAGATTTGAGGGGGCAGATATTCTCCACAGCCTTGCACCATGGACTGACTTGCCAATTTGTCAGACAGCAGCTCATGTCTGGACCTTTCAGGCAGAAAAATTCGTAAGGGCTTTATGAAACTCCCCAGGAGATTGCAGATGGAAGGAAAAAGTGCTTGAACTTGCAGAAGAAAGACTCCTGTTAAACAGTGTCTCAGAACCCACAAATATATATAAATATATATATATATATAAAATATCTTTAAAGTCCCATCAGTCACACTCGCAAAAGCTGGACATGATGAATAATGCCGGTTTTCCATTACGATACACTCAAATCTTATTTTGTTTATAAAAAGCAAAGGCTGAAGTCGCTTCACAATCAGTAAAACTGTATCATGTAGAGAAAGTGTTCATCTAATCATTTCAATTTCCACTGACTATGAAGTGATGACAGCATGCACACAAGTGGAGGTCAGCGACCAAATGCCACGTTCGTGCAGCCATAATTACATATACTGGTATCAATATTCACACAAATACATCTGTGCCTATATATCTGCAGTGGAACCTCTGGCTGCAGGACAGATGTGCCCCAAACTGATGTAGACATCCAGTGAGCAGGGAGGGAATCAGCTCCTGTTACCCAGAGCACCACACAGCTCCATGATGGTTCAGGGATTAGGCCAGCTCTGCAGCTCCTTATCATGGGACATTGGAGTTGGTTGCACAGGTTTATAAAATTATGGGATATATTCATGGAATAAAACCCATCTGTGGCTATTAAACACTAAAGATTTCCCTCTGGGTGAAATAAAATTGAAATATAATTCAGTGGAGGGTTGGAGAATATTCTGGGGAAGCACCACTGTTTCCTTACTTCACATTCCTACTTTCTCCTGTACATCTGCTATTGACCATTTTTGGAGAGAGGCTGCTGGGCTGCTTGGATTTCTGGGCATAGCTGATACATTTGGTTTTGTCTAAAGAGGGGAATTGGAGAAGATGGGGGTGATTCAGTGGTGCACATTCATCAGGTGCAGTTGCCATCGGGGACATCACTGCTTCCTGTAAGCACAGCCATGATGTGCAGAGATGACACTACACTGTGAGAGAGGTCTCCTTGCTCCTGTGAACATTTTATCCTCAACTTCAGTCTTTTCCTGTGGTATCCAGAAGGGCCACAACTCCCTTGGAAATCAGATCAGAGCTGATCCCTGAGCAGTGTGAAAATCCAGCTCCAGGACTGCACTTGACCACGTGAAAGGGCAGAATGATGTGAGCAAAAAGCACTTCTAGCAAAGAAACACTAACAAGAGATTGTGCCAAAGATC